AGCTACGTTATTCACGTAGCTGAAGTTGCGTACCTTAGTTCGATTTGGGGGTTTAGTGTAGACCAAGCCTTACTGACTCTTGAGAAGATAGATGCAGCTTTAAAGCAACTTCATTGATCTAACTCGGATTCTCAGCCCATTTGTCCCTAAAGAAACTAAAAGGGCAAAGGTCTTACAGACCACTGACATCTCTCCTTCTCCCATATCTCACAATGAGTTTCAAAAATGGACAACCCTGGAACTCATACCACCTATCAGGTATGTTCTTCACTCATATATAAAAGACATAAAGGTTCAAGCATGTCAACATATTTAAGGTACTAACTGCTGAATTGCCCTTCTTTCAAAAGCCAGGGGAAAAATAGCAAAAATCTTCATTGTTGCATACAGCAAAGAAAGTCTGAATGCAGCTACTAAAGGCATCTTATCAGTATAGAGAAACTGACTGTGTCTTTCACTTCTAGAACATCTAGGGAATGTGCCACAAGGAATTACATCTTTTATGTAGAATTTGTCCGTGGATATGATGCCCCATTCTGCACACCTGCAGCAAAATGTTGAGACCCATACATCTGAATGAGAAGCAAATACTGTATCAAGTGCTAACAACAGAAAAGGTTGTGCGAGTTTGTGAAACAGAAGCATGATCTCATGAGTTTGCCATTTGAAGTGCATGCCCAGATGAGTCACTCAAAATAGAGAGGAACTTGTTTTAGCCAATATGGTAGAGTCCAGGGATTCCATTATGTCCACTCTGGGCAAGTTCTGCCCTGTTAATAAAGTAAGTTTTGCTAATATGTGCTACCATACCAGACTGCATGTTGCACTTTAATTCTATTAAATTGCTTTCCTTAATTTAGCAATGGTTTGGGTTATGCAAAAACTAACTCTCTATTTTGAGGACAATTAAATGCAGTTTAACTTTACTCCATAACAATCTTCTTGGTATTCCCCCTGTTCCCCAAACAGCATAGTAAATTTTGTCCTCCACTGCAAACAAAATCTTACCACAATTTTTGAGTTGTGAGAAGTTCTCAGAACCAGATCTGGATGGATTACCTATTTCTAAAATGGGTTCTCTGGGAATTTCTAGGCTCCACCTCCTGTGTGTACTGATTTAGCAAAGTTGTGGGTGGCAGAGGGTGAAAGGATCCTGCTATAGTAATATATGCCAGGAAAAAGAGTCATGGTTTACTTTGGACACCTTTAGCACTTTCTAGCAGCTGGTATCTCATCAGGACCACAAAAGAATTCAACAGATTAGTCTGCAATGATGTAAAAGCAGAATGGAGCTGAAAAATAAAATAACTAACAGGTGAAGTAGCAATTCTGGGATGAAGGTCCTTAAATCTGAATGGCTGTCTAAGAAACTGAGAGGATTAAAGTTGGAACAAACCTGCAGTCAAGAAAAGTGATAACAATTAAAAAAAAAAAAGGTACTCCTTTTGTTAGAATAATTCAAAATTTTGGTCATATTTAATCTCTGATAATCTAAACATCTGATAGCAATGTTGTTTTCAGAAATATGCACAAGCTGATGCACAGGCTTTCCAGTTTTAGGTAATTTAGTTTACTAGATATGTGGATAAGAATTTTGTGTCCATTTATAGGCTTCATTAAACCTAGTTCAACATTATTTAAATAAATTTCCATATTGGACTCAGTAAAATTTTCAGAAGTGCCTAAGTGTTTTAGGAGCCTAAATCCCACTGGCTTTCAATGAGGCTTAGGCTCATAAGTGACAAGTCATTTTTGAAAATAGAAAATATGGTCAGTTACCTCCGGTAACTGGTTCTTCAGTATGGGCTGTTCACACAGATTCGACTCCTGGTGCACATGCACCTCAAACATGCAAGATCGGACTCTTTTGGCCATTGATCAATTGGAGCCATGCCTGCACCCTAGATACCCTTGCACCATCTGCAGCCTAAGCTTAAAGGGCTGAGTAGGCCCAACCATCCCTCAGTTCCTTCACCAAAACAGAATCTCAGAAGTAGGACTCCATAGTAGCGAGGAGAGAAGGTGGGTCATGGAATCCATGTGGACAACATATCTCAAAGAACCACAATTACCATAGGGTAAGTAACCGTTATTTGTTCTTCAAGTGATTGTCTGTGTAGATTCCATTCTTGGTGATTAACAAGTCATTATCTGTTTGCGTGGAGGTGGATGCTAGTGACTGTGGAACAGCCCTTCCAAAAAACATGCATCTGATTTGGAAGCTTCTACCAAAGAATAGTGTCTTGTACAGGCCTGGCCTGAGCTCCATATAGTGCCCTACGAATTTCATGTACAGGGACATTGTTCAAACAAGCAGCAGAACGTGCCTGAGCCCTAGTGGAATAAACTCTAATATGATCAGGCAGATCTAACCTGGCTAACTCCTAGCATGTCCTTATACAGTTGGAGATCCACTTAGATAATTTCTGTAAGGATACAGGATATCCTTTAGCTCTATCTGCAAAGATGACAAATAGTCTAAGTATGTTCCTGAATGATTTTGTCCTGTCAATGTAAAGAGACAGTGCTAAATTTCTATTACATATCGCTAGCCTAACTGAAGTTTTCTAGCATATGTGAATCTTATTTAAGAAGTCATTAACTTTTTATAGTATATATTTTGCCAACAGGCAATTAACAAAGATAAATAACACTAGTTCACTGTGCAGAGAAAAGGTGGACACTGCAGGGGTTCCATCTCACTGCCACAGGTAGTAAGAAAGAACTAAGGGATAGTTGGGCCCACTCTGCCCTTTATATCCTCAGATGGAGAATGTGAGGACATCTAGGGCTGATACAGCCTAAATGGATACAGCTGGCAAAAAGTATCCAATCTCATGTACATGTGGTATAAGCATACCAACAGTGAAATCCATGTGGACAACATATCTTCACTCATATCATATCAACATAAGCCCTTAAGTCACTCAGGCACTTCTGAAAATGTTACTCTATATATGAATAAATTCAGGATTAGTTGAGTATTTCAAAAAGGAATCACCATAACAAGAAAACTCTCAGAAGCATGATGACACTCTGCTGACAATTGTAATCCACCCATGCTGCATTTTACCAGAGAGTTATGGGGTTTTATAAAATTCAGTAAAATGCTCCATGGAATCAGTGTTGTGAATGTTCTTAATTTTTGCACATTCCCTACCCTGTCCAGTTGAGAGCACTGTAGTATCTCCAGTGTCCAAACTGGATCTTTTTGCTCTTATTGTAAGTAAGTGAGAGTAGTTAGGAGAATAGAATACTGTGGGATTGTTAATGTATAACAAAATCAATCCCTCCCTCCCCCTTTCACCAGAAAATGCATCCTTTTATAGTGTGAACAACTCATTTCTAATTTTTGTACAAGGTCATATATAAACAATTTAAACACATAAATGTGTATGGCCCAATCCTGAACACACGTGTATAGGTGTTTGCAAGGTCAGGACATGAACTGTCTACATTTCAATTTTGTTTCCTCTGCAACATGCAGTTTTATTTAAACTTCCCTTCATGAATACGACAGAATTTTAATTAAAGTGCATATTATATTCTAGAAAGTGACTGCAACAATGGCATTGCAGGGTTCCCTGCTTTCTGTTTCACAATATCTCCATGCTACATGTACTCAGTTTGTAACAAAAAGACATTTTCCACCCCCTTCCTAGCTGCCATCACTGCAAACTCAACCTGGGATCTGAGAGGTAAGCTGGGTTCCTTCCTGCTTGCATGTGATGATAGGCTATAATGATCTTATACACTGAAAATAGGCAGGGAGCAGAACTCAGAGTAAGGTCTGTTGTTTTTACAGTTGTATTTGAGGACAGAACCACAGTGTAAACTTCAGCCAAGATCTTACAAATTCTTTTTGATCAGGGTTTAACCTAATATTTTTACCTCTCTGATACAGCTTCTGCCTGATCTTCCTTTCTTTCAATCTCTAGGATTTCTTCCTCTGTGTACTCCAATTTCACTCTCTCTTCTGCCAGCTCTCTCTCCACTGCTTCCAGCTGAGCTGTGGTCCTAGCTAATAGGGCTGTCACTGCATCCTGAAAGACAAAATGGGCTTCAAATGGAACAGCTTCAACCAGCACTTAGCTTTTATGGAGTATTCAGAATAAAAGAAGTGTGTCCTGAATCATGACTTTATACTCACCAGGTGACCAAAACATAAATGCTGTTCAGTTACTGGAACTCCCCAAAGAGGTGGCAGCCTTTCATTGGGAAAGGGTGAATGTTTTAAGTTCATTTTAAATAGCAGTAATAGGATTAGGGTTGAGCACTTGCATAAGTGCTTTCAGGATCTGAGCCTTTATTCTAGCAAAGTGTGGAAAATTGGATAAGATTTGTGATTTCTTTTAAAGATACTGCAAAATGTAAGATATTTTCAGATTCTTGAGTATTAGTGTATACAACTAGAAGAAAAAACAGCCTAATACTAATAATCTTTCACACAGAAAGGAATTAACCAGTTACAATGCAGTGTTCCTTACACTGAAAAAAATAAGTTTGCTACTTCTATTTTATAAAATACTTTCAAAATACTGGTTTTTAAATCATCATCAAATACTGCCATTAACAGAACACAAAGCACTCTCCCACATTAGAAAGCTATATTTTCTACTAAAATTCAGTGGTTCTGAAACTTTGTACGATGACCCTTTTTCTGCAGCCTAAATGCTGCGGATTAGTTGAACAATTTAGCAGGGAAAAATCAGACCTCTTTTCAAGACGCACATTTCTTCTGCTTTGATTATCCGTGCACATATGATTTAGCATTCTATTGTAATAGAACATTCGTTTTTTTCTTTTGACGGTAACCCTTCCAACAAAAACAAAGTTAAAATTTCACCTATGTGTGCAGATAGTATACAAATTCCACACAGGAACACAAACAAACTTGTAGAGGATGAGGCTCCACTTAAAGTTAACAAACTGCTCCTTCCTGGCCATACCGATTTCACTGTAGTCGTATTTCCAGAACTCTGTGGAGTGCTTTCTTCACACTGATTTTTGTCCTTCGCCCTTTGTGGGTCTGAACCAGTGAATATCTGGACGGGATACCAGTGAAGCTGCATCTCAGTGGAACTCTCATGATCAGCCAGGCTAATCTGAGCAATGCCCTGTAAAAATGATAGGCCAAAATAACCAAAGAAAACAATATACCACTTCCCATTCACAGAACTATCCCATTTAATAGAAATACTGCATCAAAATAGTGCACCTTACGGGTGACTTGAAATGGAAAAAAATTATAAAGTCTCCCTTGTTTTGCTTATTTATGATGTATATATATAAAAAAATACTTTCTTCCCACCCCCCATTCCCACAAAAGAGAAGGGTTTTGTTTTTTTTAAATTAAGAGTCTAATTGCTAAGTTTGATGTTCCTGAGGTTTACTGGATGCTGTGTTAGCAATCTGAGCTCTTAATCTTTTACAAAGACATCTTTTCGCTCAAGGGTTTACTCATATATTTGAGTTAAATTGTCATTAATGAAAAAAATTAATCTGAATAAAAATCACTACTGTTCTCAGTTAATCAAGTTTCATTTGCAAGATCTCTCTGATGTTATAATTCTACCAGTTTTCCATTCATCGGGGGAGGAGGGAAGGGGGGGGGAGGAGAAGAGAGATGAGATAGACAAGACCAGAATTGCTATGTAAAAAACTAGTAGTAAAAACTTTCACGCTTTCCTAATACATCATAAAGAAGCCAAATAGGGAATAAACAAAATTTGTTTCCTTTGTAAGTCACCTTTAGATGTCCCAAAATTCAAGGGGGCAACAAAGAGGGATGAAGTGTATTTAGCCTAATTCACCCATCTACAACGTATGCCTTTATCTAGCTAGCAGTGGGACTTTACATTTCTATGCTATGAGCCTACCAGCAGGGGTCTCTTTCATTGAAACGAGTTATGTAAAAAGTATGGCTTAGATCTCTCACAATACAGGTTGGCTGAAGAAGTGTCTCTAACAATACAGTAAGTTAGTAAATGTGTTCAGAAATTTTAATTTAACTTTAAGCAGATTTAAAAAAAGAATTAATTAGAAAACATGTAAAGTATTTATTTTATTGTGTTTCCATGCCAAAAGTTCCCCGGGGCTCTGTTTAAACAGATGGACAGAGGACAAGGGACAAATGACTTTGAAATGAACAAAATAAAAAATATTGGGAAATAAATTATGGAGGATATAACAAATTTATGTCAATATTGCATACCACAAAGGAAGACACTATTCATTTGGTATATTTGTTGCATCATCAAAAAAAGGACTGCCTTGTTCCACAGCTGATGTTTATTTTGGCTCAATACTAGAGAAAAACATCTTTTGCAGATACTGACACTAAACATCAAAGGTAAAGGGTCCTATTACAGAGGTTTGTATTTGTTTTTTTAAAGACACAAACATTCCTCCAGGAGAAAGCTCTGACAGTCAGAGAAAGATTAGTTGAGTCAAACAAGAACTGCAAGATAGAAGCTATACAGTAACTTTCATACCTTTACTTCTTTCCTATATCCGTGAAGTCTAGGGCTACTTGGGAGAAAAGACAGTTACCTTTTCCGTAACTGGTGTTCTTTGAGATGTGTTGCTCATGTCTATTCTACAATAGGTGTGCGTGCGCGCCACGTGCACCAGTGTTGGAAGGTTTTCCCCTAGCAGTACCCGTAGGGGAGCGCCCCTAGCTGCGCGCTCCCCCCACCCTCAGTTCTTGACATGCCCCATGGATGGGGAGCGATGTCGACTAGTAGATGGCACCAGGGAGGTCGCCGCGCACCGACCTAAAGCCTAAAGTCTCTCTCTCTCTCGGTCCGAGGCTTAAATGACTTGCAAATCTTACAGCGATTGTTGAGAAGAGTTTCACCCAAACAGCGTAAACAGTCCGCGTGCGGATCACTCACTGGCATCGGGCGCCTACAAGTGTCGCACAACTTAAAATCCGGGTGCAGGGCATGCCCTGGTCCGGGTGCACTAGCTAAACTAAACTAAAACTAATTGAGTACTAACTACAGGTCACATACACTGAACAAACAAGAGTTCTGGGGACAAGCTACAGCAAAGCTGGAGCAGAGCAGTTCCGAAGCACCTTCACTGGGGGCAAGAAGGAACTGAGGGTGGGGGGAGTATGCAGCGCCCCTTATACCGCGCCATGGAGGCGCCACTCTAGGGGTTGCTAGGGGCACTCCCCTACGGGTACTGCTAGGGGAAAAACTTCCGACACCGGTGCATGTGGCGAGCACGCACACCTACTGTGGAATACACATGAGCAATCACTCGAAGAACAACATTTCTTAGTTTCTCTCTCCATGGGATAAGAGGGAAGATCCTTTCATGGATTGAGAACTGGTTAAAAGACAGGGAATAAAGGGTAGGAATAAATGGTAAATTTTCAGAATGGAGAGGGGTAACTAGTGGTGTTCCCCAAGAGTCAGTCCTAGGACCAAGCCTATTCAACTTATTCATAAATGATCTGGAGAAAGGGTAAAAAGTGAGGTGGCAAAGTTTGCAGATGATCCTAAACTGCTCAAGATAGTTAAGACCAAAGCAGACTGTGAAGAACTTCAAAAAGATCTCACAAAACTAAGTGGTTGGGCAACAAAATGGCAAATGACATTTAATGTGGATAAATGTAAAGTAATGCACATTGGGAAAAATAACCCCCACTATACATACAATACAATGGGGGCTAATTTAGCTACAACTAATCAGGAGTCATCGTGGATAGTTCTCTGAAGATGTCCATGCAATGTGCAGCGGCAGTCAAAAAAGTGAACAGGATGTTAGGAATCATTAAAAAGGGGATCTAGAATAAGACGGAGAATATCTTATTGCCCATATATAAATCCATGTACACACACATCTTGAATACTCCATACAGATGTGGTCTCCTCATCTCAAAAAAGATATACTTGTTCCCATAATATAAGAACTAGGGGCCACCAAATGAAATTAATGGGCAGCAGGTTTAACAAATAAAAGGAAGTTCTTCACATAGCGCCCAGTCAACTTGTGGAACTCCTTGCCTGAGGAGGTTGTGAAGGCTAGGACTAGAACATGGTTTAAAGAGAACTGGATAAATTCATGGAGGTTAAGTCCATTAATGGCTATTAGTTAGGATGGGTAAGGAATGGTGCCCCAGCCTCTGTTTGTCAGAGGGTGGTGATGGACGGCAGGAGAGAGATCACTTGATCATTACCTGTTAGGTTCACTCCCTCTGGGGCACCTGGCATTGGCCACTGTCGGTAGACAGGATACTGGGCTAGATGGACCTTTGGTCTGACCCAGTACGGCCATTCTTATGTTCTCTTGTTTAATCAAGGCTGAATTGAGCTTTGAATTTTTTCTGTGGGAAAAATCACTCACAGGGGAACAGAACGCTGGCATCAATGGTGGCAGAGAAAGATGAACATGATACATGGATCAAAGGCATGGAGAAAGAAGGCTGTGATCTTCTTTGAACAGTTTTTGGAATGACAACACAGGAGGTCACCACTATGAGTATGAAGGACAATTTCACAACTGAAAGAGTATGTAAGAATATCCATTTTCAGGCCACTAAGAAAGGATGGTTTGTATACAACACTTTGAACTGTTCTTTTGTCAATCTTTGGTGGCAGCAGCAACTATATAATTCTTTTACCTTTTCCAACACAATTTTCTAAGTAATAATATATTATTAGTATTCTTAACCTACCAAATCTCTCAGGAATCAGTGGCACCAGCATTCTATTCATTTTAGTAAGGCTCTGCATTAAAAAAGTGATGAAATACAGGCAGTCCTCGGACTTGTGACACAATTGGTTCCTGAAAATTGCATTGTAAGTCTAAATACTGTAACTCGGAACCGCAATCCACTCCATTGCAGGACCGAGCGTCGTAAAGTATTGTCGTAAGTCGAATCAGGGTGTCAATTCAGAAGCATTGTAAGTGCCGTTCGTAAAGTCGAGGACTGCCTGTAACACCACAAATATACAGCAAGTAATATTTAAAATGTTGGCATTCTCCAAGACCGGTAACTCTTTCCTTTTAGCTAATTTCTTTTAAACATTTAAAGGGGGATTTTCAAAAATTCTTAAGTGAACGAAGAGCACAAGCCCACTGACTTTGAAAATGGCTTTTGAAAATTCCATCCTTAAATTATATTTAATTACAGGCAGTCCTTGACTTTACGATGTTTGAGTTACGATGAACAGCACTTACGATGCTTCTGAATTGACACCCTGATTCGATTTATGACAACTGGTTTAGACTTTACGACGCTGGGTCCCGTAATGGAGTGGACTGCGGTTCCGAGTTATGACATTTAGACTTACGCCACAATTTTCAGGAACCAATTGTGTCCTAAGTCTGAGGACTGCCTGTACTTCTTGTTTATAAGACAAACCTCAAACAAACAATTATATCAGTTATTCTTGTTATCTACACAGAAAAATAGCCCTGATTATGACTAATCCAAAGAGATGCTCCATATCACTCCCTTCAAATTCCAGCTACACTTCTCTTATGCTTAAGAAAAAAAATAAGTATTTTTGGTGTCCTTTGCTGATATGGAAGTTACTTTTATTAACAATACCATACTATTTTTCAGGAAAAATAGACCACTTACCAAAAGTTCTTCTTGCTGCTGGTGGTCAACTGAACAAATATACAGCTGCAGTGATTTTAATTTCAATGCACTTGAATGCACAGGGATTCGGAAAACTTCATTAAATATTAATGGAGTTTGGAATTCCAAAGCTCTAGAGCAGTAAGTGGTTGGTGTGCCTGACTCCAGTGGAGGTAAGTAAACTCGAACATGTCTGGGAACAGCAAAACAAGCAAAAAACAGCACAACTGAAATAAAGAAAGCTAGGTTCAAATTATTTTTTAAGTTTCTAAAAATCAAACTGAACAATAAAAATAAATGTAATTTCTACATTCACGACACACACTTGCATCTCTTCATTAAGGGAGTTTAGTCTTGCATTCGTTAAGTGAAAGAAACACGAAGTTGAGCAGTTCTTCCACTTTCCAACACTACTGATTAACCCAGAGACGTTACAATATAGCTACTGTTATTGTGTCCTGTCACTGCCCCACACCTCGGAGTTTTGCCTGAAAAGTTTGGTAGGAGGGAAGAAAAAAAAAAGTCATGGAGGGTGCCTTACGATTGACAATCCCTTACTTGCTTCTTTCACCGATGAAACGCCAAGCCCAAATTAATAGTCACTACCTTTCTGGATGACTGTCACTACACATGGCTCTCTTCAGAGACTATCAAAATCTCTTTTATTACACAGGAGCATGCATTGCACAATACAAGATGATCACCTTCTCCTTACCATCCCCTTCTATTCCCAAGAAAACCAAACCTTTGTATTCTATATATGGCAGCAGACTAACATTAGGATAGTGACCCAACTTATTTTGAAATTATTTTTAGCTGTAGCTTTGGGGAGAGGGGAAAGAGGAGAAGGAACAAGCTTTATGATCAAGAGGCTTTATGTTATATCAAGAATCCCATTGGAATGATTTACTTTACAACACTCAACAATTCTACAGTACATCAACTTTCCAAAGTTTTCAGGCAAGTTCTTTGGTCAGAAATAAAACCAGACAACAGAATTTTCCTGGCCCCTATTGTTTCTCATTAATTTAGAGATATATTGTCAGCTAAATTTCATCTGATGTTTAAATACAGAAATATAATTTCTGTATCATTGGGTAAGAAATATTGTAAATACACCTAATTATAAATGTAGGGATATGTTCTCTATATTGTGGCAAAGGAATGGAAGTGATGAACTGTCATGCTATAAAACAGATGTAGAGAGACTATAATTCCTCCTTCTGAAACTCTGTCAGATAATTTCTTTGTTTAAATTAGATTATCTTTATGGATTCTATCCCAAATGGTCTTTATAGCTGCAAAACCTACAGAAGTACACAGTGCTCCTGGGCTTTACAGCTGGATTATTACAATTACCTAAGGGTCATAAATCATTACTTATGCGAGTAAAGGTTGCCATGATTGGGCCTCTAAGACAACTATTTCCTCCTTAATGGTCACTTGTTAATGTCCCTGAATATTAATACAACCCCCTACCCCTCACGCCCCAAACTAGATGGCTATCAAAACGTACAAATTTTCATTCTTCCCCAAATATTATACTATTTTATACAAACAGCATCTAGCCAGATTTATTATACATGTATGCTTGGGGAACAAAATAAGTAACAATCTGTAATAATCAGACCTTTGGTGATATTTGAGCTTACATTTTGCAGCCTTCTTTCACAACAGGACCAGTAAAGTTCTTCAACTCTAACACATGGACTAGGAGACATTCACTTCCACCATCATGCCTGGAAAAATAAATTGCCTGAGTAAGTTAGCAGAACTCAGTGATTAGCTTGCCAAATTTGGATGGAAGAATAAAAATGTTACAAGGAAGAAAAACAGCTCTGTTTAGAATAAGATAAATCTTTTATGCACGTGTGGTTGAATGAAGTCAGTTAAAACTCTGTTGATAGCCAATGTGATTCTGGGTATCACATTCTGGTAAGAGAAACACAATATTATTACACTACACTAAAGAATCTATCAGAACCAACAATATAAGAATCAAGTACTATTAAATAAAAAAAAAAAATCTCATCCCTGCTCCCACGCTGCCAACCCTCAGCTACAACTGGGGCTAATCTATCCACAAAAGTTGTATTGCTTTCATTATATGGCTATAGTTAGAGCAGTACAACCACCTTAATGTAGATGAGGCTGTATCAGCATGAAGATGAGTTATGCCACTAGAGTGATTTTCATATGGGAAGGGGAATAAGCTAATACAGGGGTAAGGCACCTTTACACTGATTTAACTGCATCCACACTAAGGGTACATCTACACAACCCGCCAGATTGGCGGGTAGTGATTGATCTATCGGGGATCGATTTATCGCGTCTAGCATAGACCTGATAAAATCGATCCCCGATCGCTCTGCCGTTGACTCCGGAACTCCACCGCGGCGAGAGGTGGAAGCAGAGTCGACGGGGGAGTGGCAGCGGTTGACTCGCCGCCATCCTCACGGCCAGGTAAATCTATCTAAGATACGCCAACTTCAGCTACGCTATTCGCGTAGCTGAAATTGAGTATCTTAGGTCGACACCCCTCCCTCCCAGTGTAGACCTAGCCTAAGAGTTGTACCAGTGTAACTATATTGATAAACACCTCTGAACATCAGTTGCAGTTTGCCATGGTCTACATTCTTTCGCTAATTCATGCGCTGTATAAATAAGAGGTAACTTTTTCCTGTCAACATGAATTTGGAAACTGAACAAACAAGTTAAACCTATTAGCTGAGATTCTGTGCTGCACCTCTTAGAGGCACAGAGCAGAACTCGTGGCCTAGATGGAGGACTGCTCTGGGGACTGAGAGGCCCCTGGCATAACACAGCCTTGGTGGCCTGTATAGGTGCCCATGGCTGTCATACAGGTGGCAGTGCTACCTGAAATCCCTGCAGCAGTGTGTGCTGTGACCAGCCCTCCCCGCAGTACCAGGGCTTGCAAGGTGATACACGGTAGGGAGCCTTAAACCGGTCTTCCACTGTGCCTTACGTGACACTAAGGGGCCAGAGAAAGGTGATGATCTCATGTACTGAGACAAATCCTCATCTTCTTACTCACACAAGAATTCCAAACAATGAAAAGGATACTGTGGAAACAGATGGAAGGATGGAAAAGTGCGGCAAACCAGGTGCTCCTTTGCCAACCAAGATAGAGGGAACTGAATGGAATGCCTGATGGTAGTATTAATATACTGCAGTGGTTGGCGCATGATGTCCAGTAAGGGCCAGTTTCATGCCCACACGCAGCTAGCACTGCCCTCAGTGTTCAAAGCTTAATAGATAAGACCCTAGAAGGAGAATCCTGGTGGACAGTATCTACTGAAGAACCCAAGTATCATTACTTACAGGAATCCAACATGTATTTGTGGTTCTTCACTACTAGCAACAACATCACTGTAAACAGGGTCTTCAACATCCTCATTCCTACATGGGGAAAAAAAGCCAACTGTAACCTAAACACTGATTTGGAGGGTTTTTTTTTTAAATGAATAGAATGGATATATCCATTTAACATGCAAAAAAATGGATAGAAGCTTCGTGACTTGTTTTGTGACCTGAAACACTGCAAATCAGAAAACATGGGAAAAGCTCATTAGGTAATCTAGGGTATGTCTAAATTTCAGTCAAACACCCGCAGCTGGCCCACGTCAGCTGACTCAGGCTAGCAGGGTTCAGGCTGTGGGACCATAAAAGCTCCAGCCCATGTCCTTGGACCCTGTGAGGGGGAAAGGTTCCAAATCCTGGGATCCAGCCTGAACTCAAACATATACACTGCAGTTTTATAGCTCTGCAGCCCAAGCCCAGGTCAGCTGACACAGGCCAGCCACAGGTGTATTATTGCAATGTAGACGTACCCATAGCTAGGCTCCTGCCACTACAGGACATTCAGCTATATGTTCTACAGTGGTTACACTAGACCAGTGTTAAATGATGTAAGGAATGGGCCTTCTACAGCTTCTCTGGAAAAACTATTCCACAGTCCAAGAGATGTCACTTTTAAAATGCTTTTTTTCCAAGATATTCTTTCCTTGATTACTGTTTTACAGTATTTACACACTTGTATATTGTTATACATCCTTCCCTTAATCATCATTTGGCCAAGCTACACATTTTAGTTTTACAGTTTTCCACATAAGTCAATTATTCCTTCCCTTTAATCATTTTTGTTACCCTTCTGTTTCCAGAATTGTAAATAGTATTTCGTAAAATATTGTTTTCATGTTGATAAAATATAAATAAAATACACAATGATAAACGCTGAAATCAGAAAGGTATTAGGACAGGATGAGACAGCCAAAATACTTCAGCAAGAGGAAAAAGCAGCATTTTACAAGTAAAAGGGGGAAAAAAATCTTATAGGTTGGCAGGAGTGGTACAGAGGTGGAAGTGACATACAAGCACCTGTGAAAATGACAGTGGAATGGCATGTAGCCAGCCTCCATTCTTTCTAAAGCATTTTAACCTAATATTCTTACATTATTAAATATTGGGCATTATCATGTATCAGATAAGAAAAAAATATACCTATTTTAGAAATTTACAAACTATTTTTGCAGACTTTATGTGGCAGAAAAAGGACATTTCCAATTTATTGCGCATTTATACACCTGACCTTTTGCTTAAAGCTTCAAACACGCCACTGTCACTAGCCAGTGAATAATCGGATAGACATGCTGAGACTCGCCTGGCTCGCCTCGCCGACCTTCTTGCACTGTCTTCGCGTAGAGTTACGGCTATAACGGAGGGGAAAAATTAAAGAAAGTGTCAGGTTGAGGCAATCTCTCACAATTCATTATATAAAAAGCAAATTTAATATCTCTTAAACTGCCCAAACAAACATACAGTTGATGTAAATACAATTACACATGCTGGAACATTATTGCAACTTAGAAAAATAGTAAAATGGATTGGAGTTACTTTGCTGGAGAATTTAGGAAGGCTGTTAATGGCTAATTTCTCCATAACAAGAGAAAATATAAACTGATCTAGTCACTATGCAATGTATTTCTGAGAGACCCGCCACCACCAATGGGGTAAGCCTTAAACTGCCTCAATCCCAGCACATATACACACTATATCCTAATATTAGGATTTACCTATTAACCATCCCTTTATAAATGTGTGCCACATTGGAAATATCCAGAATGCCTATTTCTTTTAACCTAGCTAAAAAGGAAAGATTTAGGAAGTAATTTGCTGTTGGTAGTACGGGGTTTTTATTTGTTTTTTTAAAAGTTAATTCCCCCAACCACAAATCAAACTGGCTTAATCAGACCATAGTAACAGCTTCTACTTGCAGCATGAGGCACACTGTCAAAATGGACCTGAACCTGACAAGTAGAGCTGGATGGCCATTTTTATAAAATAAAATAAAAAAAATAAATTGAAAAATGATGATATTTAAAAAAAATATATGACATTTCCCCTTCTCCCTGCCCCTTACCAGCAAACTCAAACAAAAATAGTATGGACAATCACTTTCATATCATAAAGTATATAACAGAATGTATGCAAAATAGTTTTGCATATGCAAGTGAGTATTGCCGTGTAGAACCTCAAATGGGCATGCACAAGTGACAGTGCTCAAGAACTGAGTGCATATGCAAAGTTACGCACATTCAAAAGGCCCTATATGTTTTGAAATTCCATGTCTTGAGTCTGAGAGATATCAAACTGATTTACTTAAGTGTTTCCTCATTGCAGAGGTATCGCAGATGATCTTTCCAAATTTAATTTTCTTTCCCTCAAAGGAAAAATTAAAACAGAAAGCAGGAAAGCAACTAAAAACGTTTTAAGGGAGGTGAGTAGTGAGATGTGGCATTCACAAGTGGGGGAAAATAGAAACACATCATTCCCCTATCCATGCTGTGATATTTCAAGGGGTGGTTTTGAGTTGCATCAAACTGCAACAAGCAACCCCTTAAGGCAACTGTTTGTTTGCACGTGCATGGATGGTAATGGACAGTATATTGGGAAAAAAAGATTAAAGCATACAGCCTATTACCATGGAGAAAGTACACAATGTATATCCTACGACAAACAAATAGCACAATTAATTAATAAGTGCATCCTAAAGATTAATTATTTTAATGAATGGCAGTAGAACATTAATATTCATGAAGGATGAAAAGCACCCCCCAGTGCAAAGGGCTAGCCCACTGCTGGGCATATATGATGCACAGGCCTTGGGCAGATCCTCTGAACTAAGGTGAATCTCAGCCCCTTTTGAGTGTAATATGAAGAGGACCACATGATTACTTATAATGTCATGCTCACGAAAGCCCTCAAATTACTACTGCACGTGTGCAGCTGCTGGTTTTCAAATATCAGTACCTGCTGTCACCAGAAAACTTTGGTCAGGATTAAATTAATCATGTGTTTCAACCTTCCACTGGACAACTTCACGATGAAGTTTAGCTGTCACCTAGATCAATGGGTCTCAACCAGTGGTACACGTACCACTGCAGGTACGCAGAGGTCTTCTAGGGGGTACATCAATTCATCAAGATATTTGCCTAGTTTTACAACAGGCTACGTAACAAGCACTAGCGAAGTCAGTACAAACTAAAATTTCATTTTGACTATGACTTGTTTATACTGCTCTATATACTATACACTGAAATGCAAGTACAATATTTATATTCCAATTGATTTATTTTATAATTATATGGTAAAATGAGAAAGTAAGCTATTTTTCAGTAATAGTGTGCTGTGAAACTTTTGAATTTTTATGTCTGGTTTCGTAAGCAAGTAGTTTTTAAGTGAGATGAAACTTGGGGATACAAAAGACAAATCAGACTCCTGAAAAGGGTACAGTAATCTGGAAAGGTTGAGAGCCACTAACCTAGATGACTTACCTCATTGGAAGCCTGATCTACGTTACAAACTCAAATGTTAAGAAAACAATGTATTTTGAGACTTGCAAAAGGTGAAAAGACCTGTGCAGAATCCAGAATTCAATCAACAAGATGCAAGAGGATCCAAGTGTTTGCCTTTGTCGTTTGATAACAAACCATGTCTACCCTCCTCCAAATCTTAATGTTTCTAGCTATCAATATCTACTTGGGAAATTTAGACCTTCAGTCAGGAGTGTCCCAATCTCTTCCTAAATCAGCGGAAGTGTCTTTGAGCTTGAAGAAAGAACTAAGCTCTCGGGGATCATTGCTTCCCATCTTAATTGTCCAGTAGAGATCATCATGCAACACAATGCACTTACCAAAAATACAAGCAAACTTCTCAGTTCCAGGTAATTAGAGAAAGCAAAGGACTGAAGAAACGATATTCAAACTATGATGATGTTTGCGCAATGCCCCACTATGAGGCCCTCAGGATGGTGTGTGACATTGGTGGGTTTTTTTATGCTACTCATTTCATTTTTTGGTTTGTCTACATGAAAAAGTAGCATCAGCATAATTTAAGGTGTGAAATTGAAGTAGTACATTTTAACCGGTGCAAAAGGCTGGATGGACACTCTTATTTTAGTATAAGAGCAGCTTACTTTGGATTAGTTTAAGTCAATTAAGAACAGTTTCAGCTAGATTGATATAAGCCACTTTTACATCAAAATAAGTGTCCCAAGAGCCTTTTGCACCAGTGTAACTGTATCAGTTTAAACACCAACTCAAGTTACACTGGTGCAATTTTTCACTACATGGATGGCTTGTATGGATATAGGAGACGAAAGTAAACCTTGTAACCATAAGAGGCACTTTGCAAGCTCTCTGCTTTGGGCTGTCATCTTTTGGAATCTGTCCGGCCGGAAAAATTGATCTCAAAATGCACCAAGGTGAAGCCATGAAAAAGTGATGTTACAATAATGTTGCAACTTACTAATGTTTTTATTGCTGCCTGGAGGCCACGGAAACACCTGATAATACACCTCTATCCCGATAGAACGCTGTCCTTGGGAGCCAAAAAATCTTACCGCGTTATATTGAACTTGCTTTGATCCACTGGAGTGTTCAGCCCCGCCCCCCCGGAGCGCCGCTTTACCGCGTTATATCCGAATTCGTGTTATATCGGGTCGTGTTATATCGAGGTAGCGGTGTATCAGGAAAATCCCACAGAATTTGGGAGATTTGGCAAATATCAGAACACGCCTTTGACTAGAAAATCAACATGAAAAACAGCTTGACAACCAGAAAGTAACACCATGTTTTGGATTTCATGTAATGGGATTTGCCACAGGTTTTAGTCAAACAAAGTTGGAAACTGAAAAGTTTTATTTAAAATAAAATTTAGTATTTCTAGTGTAGAGGCAGCATCTCATCTTTTACTACCTTACTCCATATCTTAAAAATTTGAATACAAAATACTGACCTACATTTTCAGAAATGACTCGTGATTTTGGGTCAGCTGACACACCTTAAACAGGCCTGGTTTCAGAAAGTTCTTAGAATCCACTATCTGAAAAAGTGGCCGTTTTAAGGTGTCTCAAACGAGCTGTTAAATAACTGAGGAACCAAAATCACCAGCTACGTTTGAGAATGTAACCCATGTTTCATGAACTTGGACTTTATGTGCTGTGTAACAGCTCAAAATGCATTTTAATAGCAGAGTTAAACCGTCTCCAGAAAACAAACTTATAATGGAGACACAAACAGACCCTAATCTGCAATGGTACTGTTGGGCATTATCAAGATATAATAAAGCTGAAGCTTACAGAAAAGTTTTTCTGAGAAGTCATCCGCAGCCATGAATATAATGTTTAGTAGACATAGCAAAAACTTACGTATCCCATAATGATTAAACATATATAATGTGATACCAACTAAAATCCAATGTAGCTCAGCCACCCTCTTCTCCGCATGCAAGTCATACAGAACATACACACTGCACACACACAAAAACACGCTAAGCATTACAGGCAAAACCAGCATAATAAGTAATTCCAGGTTCACTTACAGTGAATTTTTCTGCTGTGCCGCATGAGAAACAAGATACAAAATGAAAAGCACATGGTGATAAATCAATTTTTCAATCTATGCCAATACTTTTTATACAAAAGATTATTTAGACTCTAATGGAAACTAGATACCTAAATAATTGTATCTGGATCTGAATTTTCCTCAAGTTTGGTAATGTTTGGAGCAAGGATTTTAACTTGGCCCATTGCAGAGATAAGGGTGGGCTGTGACATTTGGATCTAAATCCAAACTTCCCCCAAAGTTCAGGGTTGTAGATATGGATTTTCTCTTTGGGTCCCTCTTTACAAGAAAGCAGAATATTCCTCTATATTTAAATTAATATATAATTTAAACTAACAAAATTCATGATGGAAGTTCTTTAAATTAAAATTCACAGAAGAGGAAACAGGAAAAAATGTAAAAGTTTAAAAACAATGTTCTATTCAGATGTGATTTTTTTTCCCCCTGTGATCTTTGCAAGCCTCTTCCTGCAAGTGAGTTGAATTCCAGGCTCAGTCAGGTTCTTTTTGTACACATCATAAAGTCACCACATATTTTAGCATATTCTCAGGAGAGATGCCAGACTGGAGGAGCAGCAGAGGTGCCGGTCAACATTGAAGTGCATAAACAAGACATTGTGTGAAGAAATCTTGCACACTGGCTGCATGCAGTAAACAACGGACTGTTTGCTGTGACTGTTGGTTCCTCCCCCACTTCCATGAGTAATAATGTTCATCAAAATTACTACACAATTTATTTTATTTGAATATTTAAGGAAGTTGTTTGCAGTGTTGTCAGAATTACAATTTGTTCCCTTTGCATTATGCTACGACACCAGTAGGTGGCAGCAACCAAACGCTTTGCACAAGAACTTAAAACCTTAAAGCTAGCTCTAAACCCCAGAGTTCCAGTCTGTGGTATATGTACCCTGCCGGTACGTGAGCATCCTGTTCCATCAGTTCACTTCACAATAGTTCTTCAGGTGGTATGTGAACCAATAAAGTTTGAGAAAAGCTACTAGAAAACAGCCGCTATGAAACAGAATGCAAACTATCCAAGCCAATCAATTTACAGAGTGCAAAAGAGTCAAGAGCCTCGGCAAGAAATGTGAAGGGGGAACCATTTTTTCCTAAATATTTGTTTTAAAATTCACACATTAAAAGCAGCTCAAACGAACAACACCAGAATAATTCTTTGGCCTTTACTGTTTTTCTACTTCCAATGTAAACGTTGCATGCTATACACAGAGAAGAAATAGGTGAACACAGTGGAACGGGAAGCGCTCTAGTGACAAAAACAGAAGAGAATGTTTAAATGAAAGAAAAGACAGGAAAGAAAACTTCACAGGGGGTGGGAAGAAGAGTATAACTGAAGCAGCATCCCAGCCCCATTACAGCCTTCCTTATCTCAGCACGCAAATCAGGTCTTCATTTCTAGAAACTATGTACAGGTAGGGACTTACCACATACACAGCCATGAAAAACACATCATGGACCTTGAAATCTGGTCTTCCCCGCAAAATTTGGTCTTTTGTGTATTTTTACCCTATATTATACCATATACTTTTACCCTATGCCTTCAGAGCTAGGTGATGAGAGAGTGGCGGCTGCTGGCTGGGCACCCAGCTCTGAAGGCAGCGCCACCGCCAGCAGCAGTGCAGAAGTAAGGGTGGCATGGTATGAACACATCCGCAAAATTTGCTATTTATGCCATGACCAACCCGTGAAAAATGTGTGATTTCTCCGTGATTTAATATACCCCTACTCATATTCAATTTGTGATCCACTATAGCCTGCAGATCCTTTTCACCAGCGCTACCACCAAGCCAGTTATTCCCCATTTTGTAGTTGTGCATTTGATTTTTCTTTCTTAAGTGTAGTACTTTGCACTTGACTCTATTGACTTTCATCATGTTGATTTCAGACCAATACTCTAATTTGTCAAGGTTTGTTTTGCATTCTAATTCTGTTCTCCAAAGTGCTTGCAACCACTCCTAGCTTGGTTTCATCTGCAAATTTTATAAGCACTCCATTATCCAAGTCAGGAATGAAAATATGGAACTGTACCAGACACAGGACTGACCCACACAGGACCTCACTAGATATGTCCTCCCAGTTTGATAGCAACCATTGATAACTACTTTTTGAATATGGTCTTTTAACAAGTTCTATACCCACATTATACCACTTTAATCTATACCATATTTCCCTAGTTTACATAAGAAAATATCATGTAGGACTATGTCAAAAGCCTTATTAAAATCAAGCTAGATCATATCTACAGCTCTCTCCCCCACCCCGCAATTCACTAAGCCAGTAACTCTGTCAAAGAAAGAAATTAGGTTGGTTTGGTCTGACTTGTTCTTGACAAATCCATGATGACTATTCCTTATAACCCTTGGACCCTTTAGGTATTTAATAAATTTGTTCCAGTATCTTTCCAGGTATTGAAGTTAGGCTGACTGGTCTATAATTCCCCAAGCGCTCTTTGTTCCCCATTTTAAAGGCAGGTACTATGCATGTCCTTCTCCAGTTCTCTGGGACCTCACCCATCTTCCACGAGTTCTCAAAGGAAACTGGTAATGGTTTATATGTGGGGAGCACCCATAATGAATGATCTATTGTGATCATTTGCAATACAAGTGGAATAGTAACTATTTCAGTACAAATGATATATATTTTTGAAAGTGTGTTGTGGTAACCACAGATTTTAGAGTAGAGTTATTGTCAGAGTATAACTGCCCCTCCCCTCCTACACTTCAAGATCTGGCAATCCCTAATGGTCTCAACCAGCTTACTTGTTTGTCTTCCCCCTAAACTCCTGTATGCATGTAAGTTCACGTAAACAGAATAGGTGCTGGGTGGCACCCATCCACCCCAATTCCGGGGCAAATAACACTCACACGTAGACATTACATACCATGCGCACACAAATCAAGGAATACAGTAACACCATAGACTTACAAGCCGTTGTGTTTGCCTGCCTCATACAATTGTAAAACAAAAGGGTCTGATCTGCATGAAGAAGGTAGATTTAAAAGGGGTAGTTACTGCTGTTACTTGTGTTCTGTCATTGTTTGTTCCTAGTTCATCCAGTTCAGGTTGCATCCCCATTTTCCTCCATCAAACTTACTGCTATTACTAAGAGTTTTTGGCACACAAAGAGAAGTGATATCAGCTGGCACAGTCTAAGACTGTTCAGGTTCTCTCATTCAGGATTTTTCCTAAGACGTAAGCATGCAGGCCTATTATTTTTAATCAACAAAATTGGCATATTTTCAGAAAAAGTACTGACGTTTCCATTAACAATTTTTGTTAAAGTCTAAAAGGATTACTACATACACTCTCTGCACTTCACCTTTGAACAAAAAAAATTTAGTTAACATCAGATGTAGAATTGTTTTTTAAAAATTAAATTAAAAAATAAATCGAACTGATAGCAGATTAAAATGCCATGCTTACATTTTTCTTGTGTTTTTCATTATCCCTTGAAGATTAGGTGAGACAAAATGGTAATGAAGAAAACAAACTCACCTCCACCAGTTTGGATGTTTGCCAGGTGTGGTCCCATTTCTTGCAGTCCATCATCCACGGGGTAGGCAGGCGTCTGTGATGAAGTTGTTCCTTGGGCATCGTCACCCAAAACCGAGGCCCGAGCTCTGCGCATTTCTAGGGCTCCTACACCTGCTATCTCCTCAAATCCTTCTGACATCTGGGCAAGTGGAGAATCCCGAGAAGCAGAAAGGAAGGGGGTGTCCAGAGGGGAACTTGGAGGGGACAACGATGACAAGGAGGACCGTGATGATAGGGATGCCAGGGATTGAGGAGTATCCAAGGACCTCCTTTGTTTATTGAAGTTACAATGTCCAGTGGAATCAGAGTACTGCACATCTTTACTGAGAGAATCAAATGGAATCAGGTCAAAGCGCAGATGTTGTGCATAGTCAGTAACACTGTCTGATTTGTCATACTGTGGGAGGCCATAGATGTCCGTGAAGCTGACAGAGCTTAGAGACCCTCTGCTGGACGCCAGTGATCCTCGGCTGGATGCCAGTGATCCCCTACTGCTGCCAGAAGACATTGTGAGGGTGCTAGCAGATAAACTAAAACAGAAAAAGATCCATTAATATATGAATTATATAGCTAGAAACACAGCATAGATAGAAAAATAATAACCCACATTAAGATAGAGGATTTTACATGCATTCAGCATTGTAATACTTAGGTTAAGGGCCATCTTTCTTCTCCTCCCTTGCCTTTAGGCTAAAGGTGATGAAAGTAGTATAAATAAAGTGGAGCAAGAAGGATCATCACATCCCTTTCCTCAAATCTGCAGATGGCTCTCTGTGGGTTTTGGTGGAAAAGTGGCCAGAGAGAGGACTGGTGAGGGAAAGTCATAGATTCATGGAGTTTAAAGCTTGAAGGGATCATTAGTTCTCTAGTCTGAACTCCTGTATATCACAAGCCATTATATTTCAATCAGTTGCTTCTGAATTGAGTCCAATAACTTGGTTCAGGAGGAGTGGGACATCAGCAGAACAAGGAAACAGTCACTCTATACAGCTTTATATGCAAGCAAACTCACAGAATTCCCATTTGAAAACCTTGTGGGAGCTTTCAAGTTGCAATTTCAGCACTAACCCCATTCCTCTGCCACTCTCCAAATGTGGAGATAAGGGTATAGCTGTGGGTAAAGTGTGAACCAACAGGAGCTAGGCTCCTGCAGGTGGTGTGCTGGTGAGATAAGGGGTCCTCCTCAAGAGCCAGCCCAGGAGGCTGATCCCTCACAGAGATACTCTCAAACTTGTAGGATTTCTCTGTAGATCTCAGAACATCTTCACGTTTAGAGGGTGACATCCTCTGTCTCCTCCATAGCATGCAAACCCCTACTCTGAGTGAGTATTGTCTTAAAATGTCAGTGTAGTGAATCTGTTAGAATGTTCCAAGCACATTTTATCCTCTTACATTTTCTCTTTCTCACTTCTGACTACTCTGTTTACCCTTTTATGCCAGAAATGAACCCTGACCTAATTTCTCTCTTCCGCTCTTCAGAGTTTGGGGGGGGGAGGGGGAAAGAGGGGGTTGGTTGGACAGTGGGTAGCAATAGTGGTTGTCTTGCTGCTGTTGCCACTGTACTTATGTTTTTCCTTCAGCTGAAAATTGTAAGATTTGCATAAAACTGGCAGATTGGAAAGAGACAGTTTTGATAGTGGATGCTGGGAAGGCGCATCACTACCTTTTCTGTTTCTTCTTAGCCCAAACTCCAGTGCATCAAGCGCCTATTGTTTCTTCTTCCACATCCCTCCTCAAAATTAACTTCTCCCACAAAACATAGCCCGTGTCCGTAAAATGCTGCCTCCCTGATTATATATTGACTCCCCATTTACCTTCCTCTTGTCACCGAGGAGTTGCGTGTCTGATTTGTACTGTCTATTTATTCTTCTGTGTTGTTTTCCGGTACAGCACCAGAGACCATCAGTGCTTAAGAAACAAGCAATCACTAATGTGGGCTTAAGAATGACACCCTGAATATAACTGAATTTTCTGTCTTTTGTCATGCATAGTTTAAAGGCTTAATCTTGTTTGTGTATAATTTTTTATTTATAAACAAAAACAATCATAAAATGGGTTCAGCTGTATTTCTCCTTTCCACATATTATACAGACAGATCTCACTAACTTTCAAACCAGGCAGTCCAGATAGCTATTATTAAAAGTGAAAAGTACTTTTCTCCTTTTTAATAACACTCTATCCAAACCACTGAATTTACGACACATCAAATACTTTGCTAAACTGCAAGCTGTGAATGCCTTTCAGTGCCCAAAATGTACTTAAAGAAAACAGATCAACAAAGTAAGAACCAATGCCCATCCTTTACTTATATTACAAACATACAAAAGAAGTATGAAAAAGTAAAATGGTCTGTTCTGTTTGTACTTTTACTTTTTTTCTGTTGAATTCAAAATTTATTAATTTTTTAAAATATTATTTTCTCTAAAGAACTCACCTTTTTAACTGGGAGTGTAAATAGGAGGCTAAACGAGTTGCTTCTTCCAGCTGCAAAAGCAAACAATTTCTCTTCTCCTGTAACAGTATCCTATAATTAAAAATTGCAATTATTATTTTTCTTCCTTTGTTTATATTGCAGTAGTGTTCAAAATGTGCTAAGAGCTTTCCAAACACAGAAGAAGAGACAGTTCTTGTTGTATTGGGAGTAAACAATGAATCTTTTTTTAACAAACAGAACTAGTTCACTTAGGGCAATACACAGTGTTTAATCCATGATGGAACTCCCATTGAGAGCATAGGAACTGTGAGCCTTATATAGCACTTAGAGAACTGCAGTAACTGAGGAATAAGGAACCAAAAGAAAACACAAGAGCTATGGTGGTAAAGGTACATAACAGAAATTGCCAAGGCCAACCATAAAGGTACCTAAGCTGACATGTAAGAGGCAGGAGCAGCTGATTAAAAACAAGTATCAGAGGGGTAGCCGTGTTAGTCTGGATCTGTAAAAAGCGACAGAGTCCTGTGGCACCTTATAGACTAACAGACGTATTGGAGCATAAGCTTTCGTGGGTGAATATTCGCCAGTACCTCAATTACCCATACAGATTGAAAGTCAAACTTCAAAAGGAAAAGAAATTTTTTTTGGAGAACTTCTGTTCTGTTAAGCAGTTTATCACCGAACTCTGTGATCCTGGCTTTCACTCAGATATACTGTGGCAGGAGAGGAGTGAGGAACCACTGGGAAAAAGGATAAGTATCGAACTGACCTTCAAGTAATGCCCCAAGAGTGAATATACTTTAGTAAACTGTAATTATAATTTTTTAATATTTGTTAATATATTTCTTGTATTGTTCTCCTTCAAACAGAAGTTAGAAGCATTTAAAACATTAAACTATGATAAAAACTTCTTTCTTCTTGAGGAAAAAGTGACCATTATTGTTTCTTTACCGAGGCAAAAGCAAGTGGCTAAATTACTCAGCATTACTGCCCGAACACAAACGGAGTCATCATAACTTTGCCTGTACTATATGCTTGTAAGGTACCCTGATTACATTTTGAAACTATTAAACTTTATTTTAAAAAGGTGCAGCATTTGTTCCAATCCCTCCATTTATTCTCTACCAGAAATACAGAGTTCTCTATGTTTTTTCTGGAGTTTTATTCTTTTAACTCCAAATTAAAACCTTTCCCTCCACAGATTAAAATCAGGGGGGTAATTTGTTCTGTTTCTTGGCATATTATTGGCATAATATGTCTCCATTCTGCAGCCCAGACCTGATACTTCCTCAGTCCTCAAGGCTCCCAAACTGGCTGATATTTGGAATGCAGGGGAACAAAGGGGTGGGTGTCCAGAGCTCTCTGACTTAGCTAAGGGCAGTGTTTCTGGCTCCACAGAAAGTCCCATCAAACCCTCCTTGACTGGAAAAACAGTTAATAAGATACAGGGGTTTTGACAGAGAGGGTAGTAAAGGGGAATCTTTTGGATGAGTGAAATTAAAAATTAAAAGTTAGCCTTAACCACTCATATTATAGCTATTTAAGAAACAAGAAAAAGCTACTTTCTCTACACAGCATAATCTTGAAGCCCCTGTGTAGTTCTCTGTACGAGTTTTAAGTTATGCTAGCTCTTCATGTGCTTAACGTTACATTTTAAAATCAGTAACAACAGAACTCTTATTAAATGTGCTTAAACATCAACCCTTTTTTGCAAGCTGGGGGAAGGAGATGGGATATGGAAGGAGATCCTCCAATGATAAATGTTTTCGGTCTCTGACGGACAGAATAATTAGTCTAGTCTCTGGTGGTGTTCTCTCTCTTATTATAAAAAATACAGCATCCTTAAATATTGTGCTAACTTTTGCTCAATTTCTTGCTAGAATCTGAAATATCAAATATCACCCTGGAATGTTGGTTTCCACAGCACAGACTACAACATGGAAAAAGAGCTTGCTCTTTTTGCCAGCACAGTATGTGCTACCTAACATGAGATCCCAAAAACAACAAATAAAATTTACTACACTGCAGTGTAAAGTGAACTCCCTTCTCTGTCATTTTCTAGGCTCGAGTGCCAATATTGCAAAAATCACAAATAATGTCATACAAAACATTAACTGTATTTATTTAATCACCTATGAATTCTCTATCACCATTTGGATTTACTGCCTGAAGTAAGCCTGATCAAGTCAAATAGAGTTCTACAAACTCAGATATGGGGCCATTTTCAATTATTTATAAAGATCAACTTAATCACGTAAGCATTAATGTTTAGACAAGATTGTATTAATATTGCTCAGTGTAGTGTCCTCAAGTGTCAAAGTTGGCTTTTTTCCATTTATTCATGCCTCAACCTGTGAACAAAAACCAAAAGAATGCACAGAAAATCTGGGAAAACGTCTCACAGATGCTAGCTGCTTGCATGGAAGAACTAAGTGGACAGAAATATTTTCTCCGGTGTAAGAAAAAGTTCACCATAAAGCTTAGCAACATTATTAGAGTATTAGGAGAAATGAGTTTTAGACAGAAGCTCTGTCCCTCTAATTGGAGGCATTTTATAATATGCACAGTTTATTGACATACTTGGCCGGAATTATAGTCTGTTCCTTAAATTCGGTGACAATTTATGGCACCCTGAAAAGAACAATACACCTTTACCCTGATATAATGCTGTCCTCAGGAGCCAAAAAAATCTTCCCGCGTTATAGGTGAAACTGCGTTATATCGAACTTGCTTTGATGCGCCGGTGCACTGCTTTACTGCGTTATATCTGAATTAATGTTATATCAGATTGTGTTATATCGGGGTAGAGGTGTACTTCCCCCAAGTGAAGAATGTTTTCATTTTTAATAACAGAGACCTTCATATTGGTTTTAAATACACAAAATTTTTATATAGCATACTCAACAAAATCTTAGGGCCACATTTGGGTCCAGCCAAACCGTACACTGCACAGGTCAATGGGAAAGATGTGTGTACAACTACAGCATAAAGGTCATCTTTAAACTTCCCGAGTCCTGGGGCTACTACTGTGTGCAGGGCTGGTCTCTGTTCTGAGGTCTCTGCTGTGCCAACCAACTATCCCCATCATCTCTGGTCACCATTGTTTGGGTCCCCATTCATCCTGAGTAGCTCAATGGCATGTCTCTGCAGCTCAGAGCTTTTCCAAAGATAAATGAAAAACTGACATGATTCTTATCCGTTCTGCTGCACTCCCGGGATCTGAATAGGAAAAGGGAAAGTGACTAGTCTTGTCAATTTCACTCTAATACCGCTTACAGGAAAGCTTTCAGAAGATTGGATCTAAACAGTGGCATGGTCAGGAAGTGCTGACTGGGACCCCAGTCCCTTTTGTAGGCAAAGTGCACAAATAACCACTGTAGTGCTTTGATCTCATATAAAGCTGGTAAACTGCACCAGCTCTTCACTTGGAATCTATGCAGCTGCATCCTATGGTAGATAAGAAAATAATCTGTTAAGTCCCCAAACCTTTCAGTGGCCCCCTGAGCAGAACTGGCCCGAGCCTGCTGAATTTCATTCTCCAAGCGCCTTTTTTCTTCCTCCAAACGTGCAATGTATTCTGGGGATCGTCTCTGCTGACTGATGAGCTGCAGTTCCTGAAGGAGAGCCTCTTTCTCCTTGATGAGCTGAAGACGGTCCCTGTCCGCCTCAGCCATTCCTGGCCAAGATTCATTATCTAGCAAGGCCAGCTGCTGCTGTATATTGGAAACTCTTGGGGGAAAAAAATGAGAGCATGCATAAGAAATAGATAAGTAACAGGGAAAAAACACTGTGGAAAGCTGTTGAGGAAAATCACTCCCAGACCACTAGCACTAAGCTACTTTTATTCTTAAAACTATTTGTATACGTGAAATAAACCACAAAAACTTGCAAGCATACATTTATGATCTCATATAAGTGAATATGTTCAGATCTATAGCTTAACATCCTTAACTTACACATACACCCCATTATGTTGGGCATTTAACAGGTACTTAATGACTTCTTCCACATGGTACCATATATGTTGCAGACAGATTCAAAAGATGACATAAGGATACAATTGGGGAGTTTACTCTCAGCTTCCTCTCTTTGTTGGCTTTAAATTAGATCCTAATTTACATCTGAATTTTTTTAAATAGCAAACGAAGAATTAACAAAACTAATCATCACAACTATCATAATTAATTAGAGTGGACAATGTCCACCATGATATTTTAGCAGTTTTGAGCTACTATAATTCATATTATAAAGATATTATAAAGATGTGGGAATAAAATTAATAGTTTTAAGACGACTAGATGCAGTTAACATGAAACTCGTTGGCTGCTGTTCCAAGGAAGGAGTCTGAGTGCTGTTTGTGTAGCCTAAGAATCTGCCTTCTATTCTGAAGGAAATAGTCCCCTTTATTTCTTATTCTCCCCAGTCAGGATTTTGGGAATGTTTTGAGCCATCAACAAGTCCCACAGTGTATAGAGCCAAGCTATTCTCCAAGTGACTGTATATCATTCAGCTAAGAAAAATCTTTAAGGGGCAGAAAATATTTGGCACTCCATGACTGACAACTCAAGGACAGGAATAAATAAGTCACGAGTCCAAAAAATATGGGGCTGGAGCAGAACAGTTGCCGCCAGGAGCAGCCATTATACAAGTACTACTGGGAAGAAGCCAAGCCCTCCCAGTCCCACCACTCCAACAACTTATTTCTTTTGTCTGAAAACAAAACACAAGCCGTAACAGCCTATCCGCAAACCAAGAATTATTCAAGACAGTACTTCAGCCTTACGGTGGTATGGTGACGGTCAGAGAAGTAGAAATGAACACACTTATCTTGAATATTATGAGTTGAGAATGCCTAAGTCATGGAGTTTATTTGCATAAACACTACTCCCCTCTAGAGCGGAGTTCTTTTTAGTTTCCTAACAAATCAAGTTTCTTAAATTTAAATTCAGTTTGAACAGTTTCCTTTTTGCCTCCTTTTCATTCTGACATGCCTCTGAACATCCTCATTTTACCCAGACCTGGAAGACCCAAATTCCCATGATCTCAAAGGCCTAAGGGACAAAATCTGCCAACCACACTAAGTTTGTTGACAAAACTGTCAGCGTAAGCTATGCTGGCCAACTTCCAGTGTAGATGCAGCTATGTCAACAGAAGAATGCTTCTGTTAACATAGTTAACTTCATTTGGGAAGGTGGCATTCCTACACTACCCCTTCTGTCAGTGCAAGCTGCATTTACGCTCAGGGGTTGTGCCAACATAGCTATGCGGGTATAATCTCTGCAGTGTAAACACAGCCTAGGGGTGGCAGAATCCGGTCCTAATTTTGTAAAGCCAAACAATTCTGATAGGCAACTAAACAGAAATAAATCTCCTGATACTGAGGTTTGTCCATCACTTCTGAAAACATGTCAGTTTTAAGTTTTTGTATATGTAAAAGGAGACAGCAGGAGTACAGAATCAGGGTCAGTGCACCTCAGTGGGACTATTTACCTAAGTAGAGTTTCTAGGATATGACCCTAAAGGTTAAAATCTAAAAAGCCTAGCCCATATTGTTAAAATAGCTTAAAATAATTAAGACACAAAAAAACCCAAGAGACCTTTTTATTTTAGAGTGTGAACAAAAATCCTTCAAAGCTATATATTTGTTCTATATATATAAATTATATATAAATTTAAAAAAATGTCCAGAAGTTTGTTTCAGTATGTGTTCCCTAGCGAAAATCTGGAATGCCATGTCTACAGGAAACCTGATGTAAACAACCACGTTCTTGTCAATCAATTACCAACACTCTGACAGCTCTTTCAGTAAAAGTGGAAATATGCACGAGGAAGAAAGTTTTGTAGGTGCAATATAAAATTTGCCATAATTTTTCCTCAGTTCTTAGGAATGTTGGCAATTAATCAAGAATACTGCCATGCTGAATAACTTAAAAATGCTCAGTGGTTTCATTTTATTACAAACATTTTTAGTTAATATTTTTTTAAGTCATGTTCATGAAACAGATTCAAATCTGATAAAGCCAAAGAGGAACATATTCATTTTAATCAGTTAAAAAAAAAGATAATTCTATGTTCAATCCTGATCAAATAAATCAACAAATTACATGCAATTTTATAAATATGGCAATTAATTATATCAACCCTGCTCCTGAAATCCAGATTACTTCAATGGTACTCTACGCATGCCCAGAAGTCCATCAGTGAAAATCCAATTGCAGTACTGGGGTCTACCAAAGGATTTTAAATTCTGTCAGGTGAGTTTGCTGAAAGACTATTGACAGACAGCTGAAGAGTAGTAGTGTCTGGGACAGTGATAAGATCTGAAGCAAGATTTTTTTTAAATGTTAACTTACAATAAACTATTATTTTAAAAAAATCTCGTTAATGAAGTGGGATAAAAAAACTGGTATGGAAACCTATAACTAATTATTGCATATTTCAAGTCTAATATGCACCCAACTACATTCCCCATGTACTTTCAAACATTGTACCAAGCGTCAAGAGGTGTATTTACTGCAATAAAATTATGACCAGCACATTAGGGGCAAAACTCATCTCTTAAATAGAAGAATCACTTCTTATCACAAACTACAGTTACACCAGTCCCAGGAAAAGCTTTTCAATACCTAGTAATTGCACTACTGGCCATCCATCTCAGTCACTCTTTGAAAGGATTCCATTCATCTAGTTCGATAGGATTTTTTTTTTTAATTAAATATAACTGAAATCAAGGTTTCCCTTGAGCTGGATGTGCCTCTTCATTGGAGCTAACTAAAATGTTTCCTCCTTTTTTGTGCTACTTTCTGTAGGTCACATTTCAAAAATGTGAAGTTCCTACATCAGATTTTTCACATTGTTTTGATAGCCCTCAGGCAGGAGATTTAAGGTACTGTTTAAACCAATGGTCTCCTTCTTGTCTTACTCAATGTTGACAATCGTGGCTTGTCTTGAAAAGGACCTCTAACTATCTGAAGACTGTTTATTTGAGAGTACAAAACTTTCTTGTGAAGCATTTAGGGTTGCTACACCCAATATACCTGACACCCATGAAAACAAAGAAACGAAAAGTTAGGACATTTATCTTCTACTCCTCCACCCAGCGGAACATACCTTTCCACTACTAGACACTACAGGCCACACAGAACAGCCTTAACTCTGTTGATGACAATTTGGTAAAGAAGTCTTCAGAGAAGTATTCTTCTTAAAGGCTGGTATCCTTAGGAAAGCAGAGTTAAAGTTATAATGCATGGCCTATACTGGGTTATGGTAGCCGTAGTAATGGTTAGGTATGGCCTGTGGATAAAGGAGAAGTTAGTGTTAAGTTACTTAACTTCATTTCTTTGGTTTTGTGAGTTTGTCTCAAGTATGTTATGAGTAGAAACTTTAACACCTTCACAATGAAGTTTGTTTATTAATTTCCTAGGTTTTTGGGTTATTTTAAATTCTTAAGCAGGACAAGCGTGGGGCAGAGGAGAGGCAGAAGTATTGCTGCAGCTGGAGAAGATTTTATCTGTCAGCAGCTGTGCATGAATCTTTGCGTATCAGCAGCTATGTATGAAACTTTCTCTGTTGTGGGATAAAATCTAAAAGAATGTGTAGCTCTTGACAGGAGAATGTGTGCAATCAATCAGGTTTTCCTGGCCCCGCTCAATTAAATTTAGTCACACAGCACATAAACTAGCAGCATGATTATAGGCTAAAAATGACCCCTTCACACCCTCCCTTTTTAAAAAAAATAACGAAAACTACTTGTTGCATCACATGTACTGAGGACACAGCTTTCTATCAAGTTTGGGGTAGTCCAGAATTTTTTTTTTTTTTTTTTTTAGAAAGACACTAGTCAAAAAAGACAAGTAGAACTTCCCTGGAAAAATTACAGCCAGAGCCAAAATTCAAGAAAACCTATTAAAAATGCATTAGGAGAAACCAAACAAACACCATAGAGAAAATTCAAGGGTGATAAAAACTAACCTCATATGGCATTTCATGCTAATTGGCCACATGCTTGGAAATGCAGGAATTTATGCCCCACTTCAAGCCCATTTCAAAACGTAACCCTAACTATGGAATTGGTATAAGGCACCTCCTGATCATTCTTGGAGTGCTTCTTAGTGCTTGACCTTGCAACATAAATAATGTTCTTTTAACATAGTTTTTTGTAAGCGATAGTACATTAAAGACAAAAAACCACACTTGGTGGTGAGATGAGAGATTTTTGTCTTATTCTCATTAGGGCTGTCGATTAATCACAGTTAACTCATGCAATTAACTCAAAAAAATTAATCGTGATTAATCACAGTTTTAATTGCACTGTTAAACAATAGAATACCAATAGAAATTTATTAAATATGTTTGGATGTTTTTCTACATTTTCAAATATCTTGATTTCAATTACAACACAGAATATAACATGTACAGTACTCACTTTATATTATTTTTATTACAAATATTTCCACTGTAAAAATGATAAATAGTATTTTCCAATTCACCTCATAGAAGTACTGTAGTGCAATCTCTTTATTGTGAAAGTGCCACTTATAAATGTAGATTTTTATTACATAACTGCACTCAAAACAAAACAATGTAAAACTTTAGTGCTTACAAGTCCACTCAGTCCTACTTCTTGTTCAGCCAATCGCTAAGACAAACAAGTCTGTTTACATTTATGGGAGATAATGCTACCCACTTCTTATTTACAATGTCACCTGAAAGTAAGAACAGGTGTTCAC